TTTCAAACCATGAAATCAATTAAAGTTAGTAGTTGACTTGATGGTTGAAATTTGTTTTGAATTTATAGATGATATCATCCATAAAATAAATTCAAAATTATGGATGATTATATAGTTAAAATTAAAATGAGCCAGAATCGGCATTTTACTACTACTGTGCTGCGTCACTTGAAAACAGTTTTGCCTCAATTTGGTCTTAAATTGATAAAGCATTGCAGTTGTTTTAAGTTCATTAATTAATACTTAAAGTTCATTAGTTAATATTTTAAGTTCATTAGATAATATTTTATTCCTTTGTTTTAGTCCTCTAGTAGAAGTTGCAAATTCATTCGCCGCAAAATAACTTTTGGTCTGAATGAAACTTTTTTTTTTTTTTGATAGTCTACTTAATAGTTTCGATTTGAAATAGTGAGTAAAATATTTTAAAAGATATATTTTTATTAATTTTAAGAAGATATATTTTATTAATTTTGAACATAAGTATAAGAAGATGATAGATATTTTTTTGGTAGACATTCATTTTATTTTACTTGTGTAAAACGGCCCATATTGGAAATTATTTTGATTGCATGCTTTTGTTTATTAAACCAAACAATATTTGCGTAACTTAGGTCATAAAAAATTGAGAAACATAAAAGTTTTCAGCAAATTAGATTTAAAAAAGGTTTTGCTCATGTCAATGTTCTTTGAGATTTTATTTTCAAAGTAATGTATATGATTTTTTTAAGTCACATTTTTTTAAAAAAGTGCTCCGAAAAATTTCAATGCGATTTCTCTTTTTATGTTTTGTTTGGCTACAGAAAGGTTTGGAAGTTTTTAAGAAATTATACCTTGTTTGTAAAAACGATAGAAAAATGTATGTATTTTTGTGATTTAGTTTAACCATAATTTTTGCATAAACTATTCATTAAGATTTTAATAGCTATTTATTTACTGACTTAAATAGAATATTTATATCATTATGTGGATAAAATAGATTTATGTCATCTGCAAACAAAATTTTATAAACTTTGCTTAATCAATTATATAAATGAAAAACAGGAGTGATCCTAATATAGATCCATGAGGAATCCCACATGTTATCTTCCTATTAGTTGTTTTACTATCATTTTAAGAAATATATTGCTTTCTATTTAACAAATTGATTTTAAACCATACAAATTTAGATGTTTAATACGATAGTTTTCTAATTTTGCTAATAAAATGTAACAACCAACAGTGTCAAAAGCACTGAGATAAATAAGTATAACTTATGTATATTCATTTAACAGTTTAAAAGTGTCATGAAAAAGATGAACAACTTCCTGATCATTTTTCATTATATGTCTTTTCAAGTGCTTCTTTTAAATCCAAATTGTTCCAAATTTATTATAAAGAACATTTTTTGCATGTAAAAACTAATACAATCTTTTATATATATGTTAATAATTTTAAAAACATAATATAATGAAGAAAGGTCTGTTATTGGAGACACTAATTTCATCTCCTAATTAAAAGTGTAGGTATTACCTTTGCAACTTTAACTTTATCAGGAAAGATTTCTTGTTCTAAGGAGAGCCTAAATTTATTTGAAAGCGAGATTTTTAAGTAAGGTATTGATTTAATTAATTCAAACTGTCAACTCCAAAACCTTTGAGTAACTCCAAAAAGGTTTGAGTAAGTAAAGATTTGAGTAAGTAAACGACATCAAGTATTATGTTTCTATTAACATTGTCATTCTATTATTATTGTCCATTATATTATTATCATTATTATTATTAGAGTTTAGGTATAATTTTAAGCAAGTTTTATTTATTTTTATTTTTGATGCCAAACCTTGGTCTGGGCAATCAAATACATATTTAAACAAATTAGTAGTTATATCGTCGTTAATAATTTCACAGTATTTTTTTTTTTACTTTTAACCTCTTTCATTATACTTCAAATGTTTTGAATATCATTTTTGCGAAACATGAAAAACCGATTTTTGTGATATTATAAAGACTGGAAAGTAGTCAGATATGTCAGTTATAAAATTTATAGTTATAAAATTTACAGTTTTAATTTTTATGTTTTTGAAATTCCTAATTATAATTTGGTCATTTGAAGTAGCACAGTGTCAATTGAGTTTAAAGCTTATGTAAAACCATTTTGAAATATAATATTAAGAAAAGTTCTGACGTCATTATTTTTTTCATATTCGAGTAAATCTAAATTCAAATCCAAAATGTGGTTTATATAGGAATCGCTAACTTGCAAATGGGGAATTGTCCTGGAAAAATTCACATAAGATGTCCCCTTTTTCAAGTTAGCGATTCATATGACGTGGACAATAGCTTTTTTGTAAGTTTTGTTTATAACCTCAGTTTAACAATAATTCAAAATCCTGCGTCGTAGCAAAATATTCTTTACGTAGTTTGAAATTTAGAGAGTCGAGGATAAAAATGCACAATCCTCCACCTTTTTTTTAGAGTCTCTAATTTGATAAAATACTTTATAATTATTAAGTTGAAAATTAGAATTGTTTTCAATCCCCTTAAATCGGCATCATTAAGCCATCCTTTTAAAAGTTAATTTTGACCCTAAACAAAAATTGAAATACCTGTAATTTAGCAGTAATATATGTAATATCCGAGCTATACTAATAGGGAATTATATTTATTATTTTCTCCTCATTATTTAATTTAACATCTATATCTGATTAATTTTTAATGGTATATATTTGTTCATTAGAAAAGGTTTAAGAATATTCATGACGACATTAGGAGAAAGTCGGGTAGCCCCGGGCGGCGGGTAACTCCGGACACTTGATGTACAGCTTAAACTAATACTAGAATAATATTATTTGAGTGAAAATATGGCATATGCAAAATATCTACCATAAAATGCCGAAGCGATTGACTGGGAGGGCAAGGTTTTGTTTCCCACTACCAGAAGAAAGACATATCTTCATATTTGATTCACATATTAATATACCTAATTTTTATGTAAACTAATAACTATCTAATGATTAAAGATATATTTTTATTTACAATAGTTATTAAAAAAAAAAAGTTCGTTAAAAAGTTTAATTCGCAGGTTTTAAAACTAGTATTTGTGAATGGGGCATGATCGGGTGGTATCGGACACGTATTTGGAGGGTGGCTCCGGACAACTTAATTCGTTTACATATTTATAATAAACATTTTTTTTTTATACAAATATTAATGCATTTAATATAATGCACAAACCTATAACAGTAATTCATTTAATTCCAATAAAAAAAAATTAGATTTGAAAAAGTGTTTTTAAAGTAATTATTTTCATTATTTTCATTATGAGCTTTCGTTTATATTTTTTAATGATGACAATTTCATACTCATTCCTTATATATCAGAAGCAATTTTTAAATGCGATTTTTTTAAAAATGAGTCAAGAACAGTCCAATGCTAAATCATTATATATTACATTTGTGTCACACTGGTAAAAAAGAGGTAAAATCATGGTTAAACTATGTGTCCGGGGCTACCCTTTTTTGAAACATGCCTTTTTTCTAACATTTTTTCTTTTATGTTTTGTATATTATTAAGGTACACAATAATTATTTTTTTGTTTCTTATTCGATAGATGAATGTTTGAACTTTTAAAAAAAGTCTTTTGACACTTAGTTTTCTGTTAGCACATATGTATTTCCTTAAGTGTCCGGAGCTACCCGACTCTCCCCTAATAAAAGCATCAAAATTAATCCTAGATAATATTTTCGTTTCCGATTTAAAAATATAATATAAGGATATACGTAACTTAAATAACAAAAATTAACAATTTTTCCATTGGGATTCGCTCACGAACGATTCGTCTGTGAGCGGGTCCCAAAGGAAAATAGGTAATTTTTAAATTAATTACTTTTCCTTAGAAAAAATTAAAACGCTTCTGCTCTCGTCAAATGTTGCGTATGAATTAAAGCTGATTAATTTTTATAAGTTCATTAGTTAAAATAATTAAAAGTTAATTTAAAATAAAATGTCTTTTTTTAGCAATAATTAAATTTTTTTGCGGCTTTTTGAGCAAACTTTTAACTTTGAGTTAAACATTTTGGAAATTTGATTTTCTTTAAATGTCTTAGAAGTATTTGATCCCTTCCATTTTGCCTACCGACAGGGCTTTTTTAGTATGAAATTCTTTTTAAACATTTAAAATAATGAAAATAACTACTTTTATCAATCTTCATGTCATAACATTTGTGCGAAACGTGATTTTAGTTTTTTTTTTTTTTTTTTTTTATATTTATGAGATTGGTTTCCCAGAATCAATAAACGATTTAATTAATGTTTTAATTGGTGTGCGGTTAACTAATATATTAACTGTTGGGCTAGATGATAATGTTTTATTTTTGTGCCAACTTTTTATTTCTTTTTTATTTTGACAACAGATAATCGAATAAAATAATTGATAACTCGGTAATGTTGTTTTTTATGTTAATAAAATAATTTAAAATTACTGTTAATCATGCTAGACAGATTTTTGCTTTGCTGTTTTTTTTTTTCAAGTCGGCATATATTTGCTTTACTGGTGCTTATATTAGCCTTTTTTGCATTACTTATTTACGTCTGCCAAACAAAAAGAGTTTTTATAAAAATAACATTTGAAATGCTTTGCTTTTGAGTAAATAATTTTGAGTTTCACTTAGTTTCTTATTCAAATTCGAATTTTGTTAGATTTGCGTATAAATTATTTGCAAATACCAATATTGAAACGTCGTTTCAATTAAAGTTTACTTCATTTATTAATTTGAAAACAGCTTTTGAAACAATTAGAAGGTAAAAAAAAAAAATTATCAGAAAATTTTTATCATTCTATGTATATGGCATTATAAACAAATAGTTCTTCAAAGTTTAAAATGCTGATTCTATTTTAACAAAACCAATCAAAGCTCCAGTGCCATAATGAGCAGTTATTAAATAAGTAGACAAAAAATATGATCTATTTCTTAGCAATAGGGTAAAAAACGGGTTCAAAACAAACATGTAATAATGAAAAAAACTAAAAGTAAAATTTGTTTCAAATAAATAAGTTAACAAATTTTACATTAAAATAAATTTTACAATGCTGGTATAAAAGACGGAAAATGACAAACAGAGTTGCTAACACAAGAAGTATAATCGTTTTGGCGATAAGAGTAACTAACATTTGACAATCTTTTACACTCGCAAAACTTGTCATTTTTTAAAAAATATTTGTTGTCAGTTTTTTTTTTATCAAAATTACACTCTCTAGGCCAAATCGATGTCCAATCCACTGGTGCCACACATTCTCCAGGCCACACCGGAGGTCTTGAAAAACTAGAGTGACTGTGTTTTAAATTTTCTGATGATGAATGACTTGAACACAAGTCTTTAAAGTTTTTTTCAGAACCATCAGAACTTTTCGATGGAACCTTCTGTCGGTCTTTGCGCAAACTACTTTTTCTTTTTGTGTTAACAGTAAAATCAGAATTTTTAGTTGTATCAAAAAACGGGCTCAAAGTTGGCTTTTGTTCTATAAAATTTTTATGACTTGTACATAAATGTTTTATTCTAAATTGATGTAAATTGTTTTTATCTGTGAATGTCTGATTAATAACTGTAGAATCTTTTAGCTTTTTTTTGCCTAATCGACAGGATGAAGAGTGTCTACGAAAGCGACACGATAAAGAGTGTTTGCAAACACAACACGACGAGGAGTGCTCACGAACGCAACATATTGATGAATGCTCACAAAGGCAACAGGATGAATTGTTGTCAGTTGATGTCAAACTTTGTTGACACTTTTGCATGTTGAGTTTTGATAAAGAAGGTGAAATAATGTCCGAGTCTTTTATACTAATTTCTTCTACACATTTAGAATTTTCAAGTTTTGACGCATTTTTTATACCATCAAAAAAGTCTTTTAAAACTTCATGCGACTTATTTTTAACACTGCTATTGAAATTTTTTTCACTAGGTTGACTATAGTTGTGTTTGCAATAAAACAAACTGTTATTTTTCACATTACAGTAAGAGCATTTCTTTCTCAAACAATTGTGTTCAGTTCTATTGGTGGTATTATGTCGATAAAGTCTTTTTTCTATATAGTTACTAATTTTTTCTGCTTCTTCTGTGTTTGGTGGGGGAAATATCATGCCTTTGCAGACTTTAGAAGAAGTATACTTAGATGATTTTTCATTTTTACTAGTACACTGACGTTTAATTTCCACGTGAATTTTCAAAGAGTGACCAAACGAATCTTTATGTTTTGAATCATGCTTGACAGTGTTGTAGACAGTTTCTATGAGATGTCGAAAATCCTAAAAAATATTGAAATTATTTAAGCATTTTAAAAAACATTGGAACAATTAACTTTATTTTGTTAAAAAACAACTATTTTTATGCAATGAAAAAAATCAAAATCCAAACTAATAGTCTTTATATAAAACTATTACTATTTTTAATAATATTATCTATTAAAATGTTCTAGGGACTGCGACAGATTTTTTTGGCGTTCAAAATTTGAAGATCAAACTTCATACTTGGTCACTTGTTCTAAATGAAGATTTTTTGCAAAAAGTCTTAATAATTACAACATAGGAACAATAGTGCCCAAATTTTAGGCATATAGTTTCTAAAAAATTTTTTTTTCTAACTTAGATTCATACAATTTTAAATTTCGTCTAATATTTTAGTATTTTGACCTTATAAAATTTACAACCCCCTAATTTTGAGAATAAGAGTGAGGGAGAATTTTATTATACCTTCACTCTTTTCTATTTGGAGACATATTTAAAAGACGCGCCTTGCATAAACTCATAAAGATAATAAGAAAAATAAATATCTGAAGCAAAAACCATCATAAGAATTTGCGTCAAAAACTTTTTAAAAAAAGTATATTTACCTTTTTTGAAACAATTCCTTTGCCTTGAAAATCATATAATGTGTATGTCCAACGATCAATTTGTCCAGATTCTGTGATTTCACTTTCCTAAATAAAAAAGTTTCAGTACATATGTAAACAACGCATGCACGATTGTAACATATGGCGCTTATGCGTGGGACAAATACAGGATTTGAATTAAAAAAAAATCAAAATACTAAAGGAAAAAAATAGATACATCACAATTAGCTTTAACATAAGCGGCACTCGTATCACACGTATCGTTAACGGCACCAAACTTATATTATATATAGTAAATTACATTAGTTCATTACCTTAAATTGCATGCTGCACATAGAGCCTTGCGAGTCACGGGAGCTCCTTGATTCACGTTCGGAATTAGATAAAGTTGAACTTGAGTAACTATCGTTAGTGAATGATTCATAGTCACTGGAATCTTTTAAATGTTTAACATTTGGAGCATGATATTGAAATTGCTGATTATTAGAAGTCGTTTCTTCGTAAACTTCCTTGTCTTCTAAACTACTTACAGGTGGAAGATCAACTAAAAAAAAACTTATTACTAAATAAAAATACTAACATTAAGGAAAAACTAACAAAATAAAATTAAATTATCATAAGATTTTAAATTAGTTGAGCTTACCAAATGTTGTTTCATCAACCATTGATGACCATTTACTTTCTTTGCTACTCCGTATATCCTATAAGCGTATAATATATATATATATATATATATATATATATATATATATATATATATATATATATATATATATATATATATATATATATATATATATATATATATATATATATATATATATTAATATACATACATACATACAGAATAGTTTAATAAAAAATCATTATATATAAATGGCGTCAAAATAATCCATTAAATTAACGTTAGAAAAATTGATATTGCAAAGCTGATGACGTCGTGAAAATAGGAAGTTTTTGCGTCTAAACCGTTTGAATCGTTTTCTAATTTTAAATAAATCCTATTTTCATAACAGAACAGTTAATAAATCTTGTTAAACTAATATCAATACGACAGTCATTAAAGTACCGCATATTAAACCGCAAATAGATTTTTTTTTTCGGCGTACCATTAAGACGCGTAAGCATTTCAAAAACTTAAAATGCGGAGACCTTTATGGAGTTGTATATTATTTTAAATCTTATGCGTATTTCTCCTTATTCAATTGAGAAAAAATAAAGTTTATGTTTTTGATTCATAGAAATTTTGATTTACGCGCGCGTGTGTATGAGTCACATACACGCATACGCACTACTTGTGTCTTGTACTTAGGTGTCATTTTATTCGTATCAGTATTAACTTAAAAAACATTATGAATCATTAATATTTAAAACTTGAGAATCATAAAAAACAAATTAATTTTCATCGCTTTCATTTTTTATTATTTTCCAATTAAAAAATAAAAAAATCTAACGTTTTTACTAATCCCAATTAGCAAGAAAACCAGGGATTTCTCTTTCATGATAAAATTAATTTATTTATTTTTAGCTTAAATTTATGAGTGTGCTTAAAATTTCTCAAATCCGCATAATACTGTCTTTGATTTAGTTGGCTATACTATTATATGAACAATATTATAAGTTATCATAATATATTGTATATTATCATAAATATTATATATTATCATAATAAATATTATATATTATAGTAATATGATATATTATATCAAATATATATTACTAATAAACTTTATGATTCTTTAACTTAGATAATAAAAGAAAAAAAAAAAGCTGTAAAAAAAAAATTAAAACAAAATTTAGAAAAAAACAAAAAACAAAACAAAATAAAACTATCCAGAAAACCTAATTTTAAAAGATGTTTCTCTAACAAAAGAAGCCTAATATTATACAGCGATAAATTTAGAATAATAACCGGCAACCGTAAATATAGAAAGCTTACTTTTAAAGAACCGTTGCACTTGAAATCTTTTAAGTTAAGATGATTAGATTTTTTTTCTTCTGACGGCAAACATGAAGAAAACTTTAAAGGGTCGTACTCTCCTAAAAATTCGTAAAGAGATATTTCATAAAAACGTAATGAAATAATAACTAAATTTATTTGCTTTTTATATGTCAGGGATTTATTAACCTGTTTCTGATAATTATTTTATTGTTAAAGTTAACAGATAACGGAGCAAATATTGATCTTCTTAAGCTCAAAGTAAAAGACATGAAATCGCATTATATCGACATCAAAAGCTTCCGAAATAACTGATGAAGACGTAACGACGTTAAAAATTAAAGATAAACTGATTAAATTTGTTTAATGTAATTGCAATACTTTCAATCTTAAAACTTTCAATTGCAAACCATCTCTACAAAACTATAACTCTACCAAACAACGTTTACACGAGTCACAATAAAAAACAACAACAACAAAAAGTCAACAAAATGTTTTTCAAAAAAGAACATTTCGGATTTTGAATTATTGTTAAAAAAAGATTGTGAATATAGCACTGCATCACTGAAATTCTATTTATCACTGATAAATAGATTTCACTGCAAATTATTAATTATAAATCAATACTTAAATAATAAAAATGTTTTTTAACTAAATATTTGCAAAAATCTTATCAGAAGACAATTTATGTCTTATTCTTTCTTAAAATTCATTAGCTTTATTTTACCTAAAAATAAAACACTTAAAGTAATTCTCGCCACCATCTTTATAGCAAAAAATTAAAAATAACTGACTTACCTTCAGGTGACACTCTTGTTTCCAAATAATCGTCAAAAGGATGCGAGCCTAATACATTAAAAAAAAAAGACTAAAAAAAAGGAACTCAGCTGAAAACACCTGTTACCTGATGAATATATTTTAATTTTTTTTAATCTCGCTTTTTAGAAATTATGAATTAAACGCAAAAGGTAATGACAAAGTTGAAACTCAAATCAATTTAGATTTTGATGGAATGTTTACTAAAAAAAGTTAAATAGAAATGCATGAGAGTCAAAAAAAAAAAATTGTTAAAAATATACCTTGCTTTGAACATTGAATTCCCATATTACAAAAAATTATACTATACTGAATTCGAGCAACATTAAAATAGAGCTTCTCATAAATGTAATACAAGTTATTTTTCAACATTAGCGTTAAATTTTTTTTGTTAAAATATCAAAGCAAAGCCGATATGCGATTTTATTTGCAAAGCAAAATAGCCTTCTGTTTTATAATTGAATTTGACGTCAACAATGAGTTCAGTAAAAGCCGAACAATTGCTTCGATCAAGTTTATTGTCGCTGAAAAATCGCTCTATTCTATATGCAGAGATTATAACGGGGGCTTTAGCTTTTTGATAAAAACATTTAGCTTAGGAAGAGTAATTGTTGTTAAACTGTCGGTTATTCTTTTTCGGAAAATTCACCTTTAATGTGCGGATATGGTACATAAACATGACAAGCACGTTTTTTCTCTGTCTTAAATCTTTAAAAAAATAATAATAATATTTTTATTTAAAAAAAATATTTTTACTCATATAAATTTGCAAATAATTTGAGTACAAATTTTTTTTTTTTTTAAATCTTGATAATAAAAAATACTCAAATCAATAAGTAAATAGTATGTTGTGTACTCGGTAAAAATATGAATTCGGATTGTCTAAAGAGAAACATTAAATGAAACAACAATACAAAATTATCGCCGAAAGTAGCGGCGACGCGTACCACAAGATTTAAGCAAGACAGTGATTAAATACTGACTAATAAAGATACTCCAGCAAAAATTCAGTTAAGAATTGATGACTGGTATGCCGAAAACCAGCAAGTTATCAATTTTTAAATATTCACTATTCATTGAGCGCATTGTTATGATTTTACCGCAATAATAACAAAAACGTTATAACTAGTGACGAAAGGCTTAAAGAATTAATTTGCTAGTTTTTAGTTATATATTTCGACCCCCTAATTCTAAGATCAATGAATTTTCTTTTATTAACTTTGATTGGCTTTTCTTAATGAAAAGGTTCGACGACGTTTTTTCTCCCGCCTTTTAAAAGTAACTGTAAATAAAATTGCTTTGAAAGAAAATCAGGTTTTTCATCGACTATTAACAACTGCGTAACACCTACTTGTAAGTTACGGCTGCATTGTTACTAAGCTCTACACGCTTTAATTTGAATTTGACTCATTTTCGGAATCTTTTAGATCAATATCGCTTAATTATAATCAATACTTTAGAACAGGCTGTTTTATATATTTATTATAAATATTTTGATTATGTCAACACTATCATTAATTATTTTTTGTTTTTGTTATTGTTGTTGCTTTTGCAGTTATTATTGTTGTTGTCGCTATTATTATTGTTGTTATTCTTTATATTAATTATTTCATAATTCGACCCCGCGATTACCTGTATGTTTTAAAACCTTTGTAACAAATAGCCGTCTTAATCGTATCTATTCATAATTATGTATATCAAATAATGGTTAAAAAAAACTCCGATCTAAATGAAAAATTTTCTTATTTTGTAACTTGTAATCAGGTACAAACATAACAGAAATTTATTAAAATGCAAAACAGCATATTCAACTAAAATAACTCCCAGGGTCTATACATAAAAAATATAAGGTGGCGACACGCTGCGTAAATAAAAACAAAAGAAAGTGACGACAAGGTGAGTTCTTTTAAAATGTTTAAGAAAAACTGAGCTTTACGTGATCAAATGAAATTCGGTTCCGGCCACACAAATCTGGCCGGATTATTTGGTTCCTGTTTCAGTTCCGACTATATTTAAGATTTCGGTTCCAGCTGAAATGTCGGGCCAAAATGCTACCAAAAAATAGATATCATAAAGCTTTATTTAGCAATATAATGCTATTATCATTAAAAAAATAAAAAATTAAAAAAAAAATGTTTTCTAAATTAAATAATAAGCCTGGGAAATAATGGAAATAAGATTTGGCTTTGTTTATAAAATAAATAATTTTTTTGTTTACATAACTATTTGTATCTTGTAATTTTTTTTAAATCACTATTATTTAAAAGATATTATTGTTGTTACGTGACTTAATAGATATACACTAAATATTACAATAATTTAAAAAGATCCATCTTCTATCCTAATTTTATATAACCTATAAAGTGTCAACTAATACTGTTGTCTTCAATCAACTCTTTTTAAGTTTGGCGCAACAGATTTTAATTGCATTCACGCGTTAATTTTCTTGGTCGAAACCAATTTCCAAATGGACAACTACTTCAATTGGAAAACAATTTCAACAATACAATTCCGTGTTAAAATTGTTAGTATATTTACAAAGAGCAGATTTTTAATGACCGTCCAAATGGAATTTTTGTTTATCATTGCAATAAATATTGTAAATAAAAAGCTTATCTATTGTATATAATTAATATTTGTATTTTACGCAAACCAGCAACATTAAAAAACCGTCTTATATTTCATTCTAAAAAAACTTCAAAAAGAAAAAATAGTTTTAGTAAATACTTCATATTTGAAGCAAAAAATCCAAGAATGGTAATTAAACTTTTCATTTATAAGTATGTAACGTTTGTTAGATATTTATCCACTGGTATTGTGGTTTATCCTCCTCCGGCTAATTTCCATATAGAGGCCGCATACCAATGTCCGCAAGTAAAAAGCATTTTAACTTGAAGCAAACAATCCAAGAAATGAAAGTGCAAAATATGCAAAGGCAAAATTTTAAAAAGGATTAGACGACCCCCCCCCCCCACCAAAAAAAAAAAAGGAGTATATAGAAAACATAAACGACATAGCCACACCTGAACCCTCATCATCCTGACTTCAAATCTACGCTAGAAAGTTCAGGAAATCTAAAAACAAACAAAAAAGCTGAAATGATTTTTAAAAAAAGAAAGACAGTTTCAATCTTCAATATACAATCAAAAAAACAAAGAACTGACAAGTTAAAATCTACAACTCAAAACTGGTTTCAAGCTTCTTAAAAATTGAATCTAATTCTGAAAAAGGCCGTCTATTTCTTAAGTTAATATTTAAAACGATAGTTTTTGAGTTATAACTGTCTATTCTCAATGACGGTGGGTTTATGAGGCGCCATGCTCTTTTTGCTCTAGTAAAGAACATGCTAGGTAAAAATACCACAAATGTTTACTGGATCCAATTTCTAAAAAAATAAAAGTTGCTTTTAAAGAAAAGTTGTTTCAATCATAGCTAAAAGTGTGTGTGCCTGCCTTCATTCATGGTCATCATTTTATCGTGGCTATCTCGAATTGACGTTTCTCTTTTTTTTAAAATTGAAACCGTGTCATATTCTGCATCTCTTGTTCTTAATTTAATGAAAAGTATACTGCAAAAATACATTTTTAACAATATTGAAATAACAGCAGAGGATTGAGAAATTTCTTCAAAAATGGGAATTTGCTCAAGAGACAATGTAGCAAAGGCAAAAGCATCCTTTAATAAACTAAACTGTAATTATAAGTCAGCGGAATGCCTTAAACACTCCTTTCAACTCGTGATCAAAAAAGATCTATATTTAGATCCAATCATAGACGGACTGATAGCAAAGAGTAAAAAACTATGTTCTTACGCATCCCATTCTACTGCTTCCTAAACTGAACTCTATAGACAGCAAGAAATCTAAATTGAGATAAAAGATAGACTTGACTTAAAAAGTGATGTTGTCATGAACTTTAAACCTAAAGACATTGCATCACCATAATCAAATTTGTTTCAGTAGGAATTGAATTTTCTGTCCATGATTGGAGCCTCTGTTAAAAAGTGGTAAATATTTAAGGTGTTTTTGAGGAGGCAATAAAAATATTGTTAGGTGTTGACTTTTGCATCAGTTCCTGTATTCCAATTGTGACAACAAAAATTAAAATTTCGGAAACAACCTCTAGCGACGTTATAATTCAGTAGTTGAAAATTATTAAGAAAAATATAATGGAAAAACATTTTTCAAAATTGAAAAAATAGAACATTATTCAGTTATTCTACTCTATCCACAAAACAAATAAGAAAAATCTGCTTAAGAAGATGCTTGAGATCTGAATTTTTTTTTTCAATCTCAAACTTTGTCATGTCCCAAATGAACCCTTTTATACCTTTTAAAAACAAATCGACTCCTGCAACTCAAGTTCTATTTGAAAGAATATCTGATGAAAAGAAACGTATCTGACATAATGTCAAAATTATTGCGCAATCTCAAACTCAAGTAGAATCAAATGGACGTTCACCTTCCAAAATGATAAAAAAAAGGTGAATGATTCTTTTTTGAATTGGATATCTAATGAGGTCTCAATGCCATGAGTTTTGAAAAAGCTGAAGAAAATGGAAATTCTAAAATCAAGTCAGCATATTGATTAAGGTGGCAAAAAAAAAAATACTTCACACTACTTCTGACATCCACACAGAGATATAGTCAAGACAGTAAAGACCAAGACCAAGACATTTGGGCTCAAGACCAAGACCAAGACCAAGACTAAATGCTTCAAGACCAAGACATCAAAAAATTAAACCAAGACCAAGATAAAGAGTTTAAAAGCTTCACAAGACCAAGATTAAGATTCTCATTAAGAGCAGGAAGTTGCGGCAATCTACGGTTTGTTAATTATAACTAATCCATTCATTGAGTTGATATTTTTTGTAAGAATCAAGTAAAAGACAGTAGAAGTAGAGATCACGACCAATACTCTAGGCTATCAAGACCAAGACTAAGACCAAGATTTTAGACTTCAAGACCTAAAACCAGACCAAGGCAGTTAAACACGAGTCTCAAGGCGTCTCGAGATATGACTTTGGTCGCGAGACGTACATCTCTGCATCAACAGAGGTTAAAAGACTTTTGTTTTTTACAGCCGGAAATCTAGCAATTTACAATAGTAGTTTGTGATTTTTTAAACGCAGCTCTTTTTGCTAATAATAAGCGTGTTCATTTAGGATATTAAATCTTTTTAGTTATGTTGCAAAATCTAGTATTGAAGGAGATCTCTGAAATTTGTCGTAATCGCGTTAGATCAATTTACATTAAATATTTAACCAAAGAGCCAGAAAGTAAACCAAATTCAATTATGTGATTATACAAGGAATTGCTAGTAGCTTCAACACAATCAATTAAGGTAATAATACACCTACAGATAAGAAAGAGTTCCGAAAACGTTTGAATTACTAACAAGTGAATTGTGAAGGTACAGATAGAGTA